TTTCCAAATTCCCAAATTCCCAAATTCCTAAGTTTCCAAATTCCTAAACTTTCAAGTTCCCAAATTTTCAAGTTTCCAAATTCCCAAATTCCCAAATTCTCATATTCCAAGGTCCCAAGATCCTCGAACTCCTAGAGTCCAAAATCCCTAGACCCACAAATTCCTAGACCATCATATCCCTATTTTTTCACACCGATAGCTTCCAAAATCTCTAAATCCCCAAATTCCTCATCTTCTTTTCAAATCCTCAACAATCCCGAAAAATCAACAACTTGTTCCCTGAAAATCAAAACTCACGTCTTTTCCTTACAAATCAAAAATCGAGGTTTCTCTCTAGATTGTCATATTTTCTCCAAAAAAATTAGATAAATTCTCAACTGTCCATACACTCAATTCTGAAACTTGTAACGAATATATAATTATCAGTAAATAAACAAAATGAGGGGATATGAGTCCAGTTTGAGTACAGTTTCATAAAGAATTCATATGATCGTGATCGATCACCATATTGGATCCGCCATTTTGAATTTCTATCTTCAGATTCGTAATCAGCGACCCTAGAACCCCCTGGGTATTAAGTCTGAACCTATCATGCTGGTATGAAATTCGTAGCTCGAAGCGCATGGTTTGGGGCGTTAATAGAATGCGCCCACTTTGACCCTCCATATCTCCTGAACTAATTGCGTGCTCAACGTAACAATTTTCTGCGATTAATGTCTCATCATGACGTATCATTTGGCGGTTCCGAAATGGCGGTTCCGAAATGAACGATTTCGATGATCACATTTTCACCTTAACCTACAACTTTTTCGACAGTTGCGTCAGACAGAATCTAATTATTGCTGCGATATTAAGATGAAAAGTTGTATGTTTTGTCTTCATAGTTGTTAGGTATGTTTTGCATTTAGCTTTTCATCGAACAGATAAAAATTGGAATTAAAGTAAAAATTTGAATTTGATGAAAAAATCAGTTGAGATTGTTGCGTTTAATTGTGGAGTGCGTCACGAGTGCGACACGGTAGGGGAGTTTAGGGATGAATAGATACTTTTTATTATACTAACTTGACTTTAATTGAATTTTGCAATCGTCGAGCTATTATTTAGCTCTTTGGGTCTATCATTTCAATCTTTAATGTCGCAAATTGTAATTATTGAAAAAATTAATATAATGCTAGATTTAAGGTAGATTTGAACTGAAATTTGTAACTTGATACCATAAGTCAAGAAGGTAAAATAAGTTTACAAAGTTTATGAGTTTGTAGAAAATATCCTTGAACTTTAAGGTTTGACAATAAACCTTATTCTATTGGTAAATATTCTATCACTGAAAGTATAAAAATTGCATATATTAATGTTTGTTACTTTTTAACAATTCGTTAAATGTACATAGAAGAATAAGTATTTAATGAAACATATACGAAGGGAATTTTTAATGCAATTTTCCTTTGTATTTAAAAACTAAGAAATCAGCTTTCAGAGTTTAATCGTCTGTTTATGTAGTTTACTTAATTTAGGTATATCGTTGATTGATTTACAGAGAGATTTTAACACAAGCTGCATTGAATGAAATTAATAATGGCTTCGATGAAACCTTTTCATTTATAGGTTCTGAATCTGAACCACTTAACTGCACTGACTATTCACGCGGATTAAGAACACTTTTCTATACAGTAGTGTGCGAAGCACTCAACTTTTAAAAAGATACTTCAGTGCAATGTAAATGCAACTTCAAAAGTTGCCAGGGTTGCATTGATTTGTTGATATTTCTCCTGTAACGCTTCTGGATAATGTGAATTAACTTACAATGATTAAAGTAACGTTAAAAAAATTAATAGGTGATATTTAATTACTTTGATATTATAGTTACTATTGTTTTTATTACATGAAAGTGCCATGAAACTACAATGAAAATTATGACACAATTTTAACGTAAAATTGCTAATTGTTAATTGTTGAATTAACAATTAATTGTTGTTAATTGTTGAATTAACAATTAAAAGGATAATTGCCAATTGTTTATTTTCATCATATGGAACTGTATATAATAGTAATTGTATTACAGAACATTACAGAATAAACAATATAATATAAAATATAAAATAGTATAAATTATATAAAAATTAAGTTTTGCATTGTAAGAATTATTAAAAAATTGCAACATAATTTTAAAACAATAATTTATCATAAATAAAAAATATCACGAACTGAACCATAATGAATCCCAAGTCATAACATAAATTTGCATGATTATTTCGTTCAGGTGTTGCATCTAACTTTAAACATACAGGGCGTCTCATAACTACTATAACTCCCGGAAATGGATGGCAGGACACGTGATTCTGAACAACATTTTCCTTTGCAAAAATGCGGTATGAAGCTTCGTTTTCGAATTATTAAGGAAAAACATCGGCCAATCAGAGCCTTCCCGCGCATGGGCGCGCAATTCTCGCGTTCTGATTAGTCCGTGTTTTTGCTTAATAATTCAAAGACGAAGCTTCAAACCCGATTTTTGCAAAGAGAAAAGTTGTTCAGAATCATGTTCCCTACCATCCATTTCCGTGAGTTACACTAGTTGTAAAAACACCCTGTAGTTAACGTAAGCCACTCCTAAAACGCCATCTTCCGAATCAAGATCGTGAACGAAGTTTAATCGTGATCATAGTTTTGTGATCACTGTGA